ACCACCAGTGAAGTGACTAGCAAAGATCTATCAACCACCAGTGAAGTGACTACGAAAGACCTGCCAACCACCAGTGAAGTGACTACCAAGGACCTACCAACCACCAGTGAAGTGACAACTACCAAAGTCCTGCCAACCACTAGTGAAGTGACAACTACCAAAGACCTGCCAACCATCAGTGAAGTGACAACTACCAGATACCTGCCAACCACCAGTGAAGTTACAACTACCAAAGACCTGCCAACCACCAGTGAAGTGACAACTACCAAAGACCTGCCAACCACCAGTGAAGTGACAACTACGAAAGACCTGCCAACCACCAGTGAAGTGACAACTACCAAAGACCTACCAACCACCAGTGAAGTGACTACCAAGGACCTACCAACCACCAGTGAAGTGACTACCAAGGACCTACCAACTACCAGTGAAGTGACAACTACCAAAGTCCTGCCAACCACTAGTGAAATGACAACTACCAAAGACCTGCCAACCATCAGTGAAGTGACAACTACCAAATACCTGCCAACCACCAGTGAAGTTACAACTACCAAAGACCTGCCAACCACCAGTGAAGTGACAACTACCAAAGACCTGCCAACCACCAGTGAAGTGACAACTACCAAAGACCTGCCAACCACCAAAGACTACCAAAGACCCAACCCAGTGAAGTGACAACTACCAAAGACCTGCCACCCACCAGTGAAGTGACTACCAAAGGCCTGTCAACCACCAGTGAAGTGACAACTACCAAAGACCTGCCAACCACCAGTGAAGTGACAACTACCAAAGACCTGCCAACCACCAGTGAAGTGACAACTACCAAAGACCTGCCAACCACCAGTGAAGTGACAACTACCGAAGACCTGCCAACTACCAGTGAAGTGACAACTACCAAAGATCTGCCAACCACCAGCGAAGTGACTACCAAAGGCCTGTCAACCACCAGTGAAGTGACAACTATCAAAGACCTGCCAACCACCACCAGTGAAGTAACTACTAAAGGCCTGTCAACCACCAGTGAAGTGAGAACAACGAAAGACTTGCCAACCACCAGTGAAATGACAACTACCAAAGACCTGCTAACCACCAGTGAAGTGACAACTACCAAAGACCTGCCAACTACCAGTGAAGTGACAACTACCAAAGATCTGCCAACCACCAGCGAAGTGACTACCAAAGGCCTGTCAACCACCAGTGAAGTGACAACTATCAAAGACCTGCCAACCACCAGTGAAGTGACTACCAAAGGCCTGTCAACCACCAGTGAAGTGACAACTACCAAAGACCTGCCAACCACCAGTGAAGTGACTACCAAAGGCCTGTCAACCACCAGTGAAGTGACAACTACCAAAGACCTGCCAACCACTAGTGAAGTGACAACTACCAAAGACCTGTCAACCACCAGTGAAGTGACAACTACCAAAGACCTGGAAACCACCAGTGAAGTGACAACTACCAAAGGCCTGCCAACCACCAGTGAAGTGACAACTACCAAAGACCTGTCAACCACCAGTGAAGTGACAACTACCAAAGACCTGGAAACCACCAGTGAAGTGACAACTACCAAAGGCCTGTCAACCACCAGTGAAGTGACAACTACCAAAGACCTGTCAACCACCAGTGAAATGACAACTACCAAAGACCTGCCAACCATCAGTGAAGTGACAACTACCAAAGGCCTATCAACCACCAGTGAAGTGACAACTACCGAAGACCTGCCAACCACCAGTGAAGTGACAACTACCAAAGACCTGGAAACCACCAGTGAAGTGACTACCAAAGGTCTGTCAACCACCAGTGAAGTGACAACTACCGAAGACCTGCCAACCACCAGTGAAGTGACAACTACCAAAGACCTACCAACCAACAGTGAAGTGACAACTACCAAAGACCTGCCAACCACCAGTGAAGTGACTACCAAAGGTCTGTCAACCACCAGTGAAGTGACAACTACCGAACACCTGCCAACCACCAGTGAAGTGACAACTACCAAAGACCTACCAACCAACAGTGAAGTGACAACTACCAAAGACCTGGAAACCACCAGTGAAGTGACAACTACCAAAGGCCTGCCAACCACCAGTGAAGTGACAACTACCAAAGACCTGTCAACCACCAGTGAAGTGACAACTACCAAAGACCTGCAAACCACCAGTGAAGTGACAACTACCAAAGACCTACCAACCACCAGTGAAGTGACTACCAAGGACCTACCAACCACCAGTGAAGTGACAACTACCAAAGTCCTGCCAACCACTAGTGAAGTGACAACTACCAAAGACCTGCCAACCATCAGTGAAGTGACAACTACCAGATACCTGCCAACCACCAGTGAAGTTACAACTACCAAAGACCTGCCAACCACCAGTGAAGTGACAACTACCAAAGACCTGCCAACCACCAGTGAAGTGACAACTACGAAAGACCTGCCAACCACCAGTGAAGTGACAACTACCAAAGACCTGCCAACCACCAGTGAAGTGACTACCAAGGACCTACCAACCACCAGTGAAGTGACAACTACCAAAGTCCTGCCAACCACTAGTGAAATGACAACTACCAAAGACCTGCCAACCATCAGTGAAGTGACAACTACCAGATACCTGCCAACCACCAGTGAAGTTACAACTACCAAAGACCTGCCAACCACCAGTGAAGTGACAACTACCAAAGACCTGCCAACCACCAGTGAAGTGACAACTACGAAAGACCTGCCAACCACCAGTGAAGTGACAACTACCAAAGACCTACCAACCACCAGTGAAGTGACTACCAAGGACCTACCAACCACCAGTGAAGTGACAACTACCAAAGTCCTGCCAACCACTAGTGAAATGACAACTACCAAAGACCTGCCAACCATCAGTGAAGTGACAACTACCAAATACCTGCCAACCACCAGTGAAGTTACAACTACCAAAGACCTGCCAACCACCAGTGAAGTGACAACTACCAAAGACCTGCCAACCACCAGTGAAGTGACTACCAAAGACCCGCCAACCATCAGTGAAGTGACTACCAAAGACATGCCAACCACCAGTGAAGTGACAACTACCAAAGGCCTGTCAACCACCAGTGAAGTGACAACTACCAAAGACCTGCCAACCACCAGTGAAGTGACTACCAAAGACCTGCCAACCACCAGTGAAGTGACTACCAAAGGTCTGTCAACCACCAGTGAAGTGACTACCAAAGACCTGCCAACTACCAGTGGAGTGACTACTAAAGGCCTGTCAACCACCAGTGAAGTGAATACCAAAGACCTGCCAACCACCAGTGAAGTGACAACTACCAAAGACCTGCCAACTACCAGTGAAGCGACTACCAAAGTCCTGTTAACCACCAGTGAAGTGACCACCAAAGATCTGTCAACCACCAGTGAAGTGACTACGAAAGACCTGCCAACCACCAGTGAAGTGACTACCAAAGATCTGTCAACCACCAGTGAAGTGACAATCAAATGTCTGTCAACCACCAGTGAAGTGACAACCAAAGACCTGCCAACTACCAGTGAAGTGACTACCAAAGACCTGCCAACCACCAGTGAAGTAACTACCAAAGACCTGTCAACCACCAGTGAAATGACAGCTACCAAAGACCTGCCAACCACCAGTGAAGTAACTACCAAAGATCTGTCAACCACCAGTGAAGTGACTACCAAAGACCAGTCAACCACCAGTGAAGTGACTAGCAAAGATCTATCAACCACCAGTGAAGTGACTACGAAAGACCTGCCAACCACCAGTGAAGTGACTACCAAAGATCTGTCAACCACCAGTGAAGTGACTACCAAAGACCAGTCAACCACCAGTGAAGTGACTAGCAAAGATCTATCAACCACCAGTGAAGTGAATACCAAAGACCTGCCAACTACTAGTGAAGTGACTACCAAAGTCCTGCCAACCACCAGTGAAGTGACTACCAAAGATCTGTCAACCACCAGTGAAGTGACTACCAAAGGTCTGTCAATCACCAGTGAAGTGACTACCAAAGACCTGCCAACTACCAGTGAAGTGACTACCAAAGGCCTGCCAACCACCAGTGAAGTGACTACCAAAGATCTGTCAACTACCAGTGAAGAGACTACCAAAGGCCTGCCAACCACCAGTGAAGTGACTACCAAAGACCTGCCAACCACCAGTGAAGTGACAACTACCAAAGACCTGTCAACCACCAGTGAAGTGACTACCAAATATCTGTCAACCACCAGTGAAGTGACTATCAAAGACCAGTCAACCACCAGTGAAGTGACTACCAAAGGTCTGTCAACCACCAGTGAAGTGACTACCAAAGACCTGCCAACTACAAGTGAAGTGACCACCAAATGCCTGTCAACCACCAGTGAAGTGACAAATACCAAAGACCTGTCAACCACCAATGAAGTGACTACCAAAGACCTGCCAACCATTAGTGAAGTGACTACCAAAGACCTGCCAACCACCAGTGAAGGAACTACCAAAGACCTGACAACCACCAGTGAAGTGACAACTATCAAAGACCTGCCAACCACGATTGAAGTGACTACCAAAAACCTACCAACCACCAGTGAAGTGACTACCAAAGACCTGCTAACCATCAGTGAAGTGACTACCAAAGATCTGTTAACCACCAGTGAAGTGACTACCAAAGACCTGCCAACCACCAGTGAAGTGACTACCAAAGACCAGTCAACCACCAGTGAAGTGACTACCAAAGATCTGTCAACCACCAGTGAAGTGACTACGAAAGACCTGCCAACCACCAGTGAAGTGATTACCACAGATCTGCCTACCAAAGATCTGTCAACCACCAGTGAAGTGACTACCAAAGACCTGTCAGCCACCAGTGAAGTGACTACCAAAGACCTGCCAACCACCAGTGAAGTGACAACTACCAAAGACCTGTCAACCACCAGTGAAGTGACTACCAAATATCTGTCAACCACCAGTGAAGTGACTATCAAAGACCAGTCAACCACCAGTGAAGTGACTACCAAAGGTCTGTCAACCACCAGTGAAGTGACTACCAAAGACCTGCCAACTACAAGTGAAGTGACCACCAAAGGCCTGTCAACCACCAGTGAAGTGACAAATACCAAAGACCTGTCAACCACCAATGAAGTGACTACCAAAGACCTGCCAACCATTAGTGAAGTGACTACCAAAGACCTGCCAACCACCAGTGAAGTAACTACCAAAGACCAGTCAACCACCAGTGAAGTGACTACCAAAGACCTACCAACCACCAGTGAAGTGATTACCAAAAACCTGCCAACCACCAGTGAAGTGACTACCAAAGATCTGTTAACCACCAGTGAAGTGACTACCAAAGACCTGCCAACCACCAGTGAAGTGACTACCAAAGACCAGTCAACCACCAGTGAAGTGACTACCAAAGACCAGTCAACCACCAGTGAAGTGACTACCAAAGACCAGTCAACCACCAGTGAAGTGACTACGAAAGACCTGCCAACCACCAGTGAAGTGATTACCACAGACCTGCCTACCAAAGATCTGTCAACCACCAGTGAAGTGACTACCAAAGACCTGTCAGCCACCAGTGAAGTGACTACCAAAGACCTGCCAACCACCAGTGAAGTGACAGCTACCAAAGACCTGCCAACCACCAGTGAAGTGACTACCAAAGGTCTGTCAACCACCAGTGAAGTGACTACCAAAGACCTGCCAACTACCAGTGAAGTGACTACCAAAGGCCTGTCAACCACCAGTGAAGTGACTACCAAAGACCTGCCAACCACCAGTGAAGTGACTACCAAAGACCAGTCAACCACCAGTGAAGTGACTACCAAATATCTGTCAACCGCCAGTGAAGTGACTACCAAAGGCCTGTCAACCACCAGTGAAGTGACTACCAAAGACCTGCCAACCACCAGTGAAGTGACAACTACCAAAGGCCTACAAACCACCAGTGAAGTAACTACCAAAGACCAGTCAACCACCAGTGAAGTGACTACCAAAGATCTGTCAACCGCCAGTGAAGTGACAGCTACCAAAGGTCTGCCAACCACCAGTGAAGTGACTATCAAAGACCTGCCAACCACCAGTGAAGTGACTATCAAAGACCTGCCAACCACCAGTGAAGTGACTACTAAAGATATGCCAACCAACAGTGAAGTGACTACCAAAGACCTGCCAACCACCAGTGAAGTGACTACTAAAGGCCTGTCAACCAACAGTGAAGTGACAACTACCAAAGACTTGCCAATCACGAGTGAAGTGATTACCAAATACCTGCCAACCACCAGTGAAGTGACAACCAAAGACCTGCCAACCACGAGTGAAGTGAATACCAAAGACCTGCCAACCACCAGTGAAGTGACTACCAAAGGCCTGCTAACCACGAGTGAAGTGACTACGAAAGACCTGTCAACCACCAGTGAAGTGACTACCAAAGACCTGCCAACCACCAGTGAAGTGACTACCAAAGGCCTGTCAACCACCAATGAAGTGACTACCAAAGGCCTGTCAACCGCCAGTGAAGTGACTACGAAAGACCTGCCGACCACCAGTAAAGTGACAACTACCAAAGACCTGCCAACCACCAGTGAAGTGACAGTTACAAAATACCTGCGAACCACTAGTGAAATGACTACGAAAGACCTGCTAACCATCAGTGAAGTCACTCCCAAAGATCTGCCAACCACGAGTGAAGTGACTACCAAAGATCTGCCAACCACGAGTGAAGTGACTACCAAAGATCTGCCAACCACGAGTGAAGTGACTACCAAAGGCCTGTCAACCACCAGTGAAGTGACTACGAAAGATCTGCCAACCACCAGTGAAGTGAGAACCACCAAAGACCTGCCAACCACCAGTGAAGTGACTACCAAATATCTGCCAACTACCAGTGAAGTGACAGCCAAAGACCAGTCAACCACCAGTGAAGTGACTACCAAAGACCTGCGAGCCACCAGTGAAGTGACTACCAAAGGCCTTCGAACTACCAGTGAAGTGACTACCAAAGACCTGCCAACCACCAGTGAAGTGACTATCAAAGGCCTGCCAACCGCCAGTGAAGTGACAACTACCAAAGACCTGTCAACCACCAGTGAAGTGACTACCAAAGACCTGCCAACCACGAGTGAAGTGACTACTAAAGGCTTGCCAACCACGAGTGAAGTGAATACGAAAGACCTGCCAACCACCAGTGAAGTGACTACCAAAGGCCTGCCAACCACCAGTGAAGTGACTATAAAAAATCTGCCAACCACCAGTGAAGTGACAACTACCAAAGACCTGCCAATCACGAGTGAAGTGACTACCAAAGACCTGCCAACCACCAGTGAAGTGATAACCAAAGACCTGCCAACCACCAGTGAAGAGACTACCAAAGACCTGCCAACCACCAGTGAAGTGGCTACCAAAGGCCTGCCAACCACGAGTGAAGTGACTACGAAAGACCTGTCAACCATCAGTGAAGTGACTACCAAAGACCATTTAACCACCAGTGAAGTGATAACTACCAAAGACCTGCAGACCACTAGTGAAGTGATTACGAAAGACCTGCCAACCACCAGTGAAGCGAGCAGTACTAATGAAGTATATTCTACATATCTGGCCGAATTTTCTATAGCCACCGAAGGGTGCCTTACCAGTGATACATCTACTACCACTGAAACTTCCCCTCACAAGAACTTGTCTACATCCACAGTGGCTTCTACTATTTCTGATGAATCTACTAACCAAGAAACATTAACGGCTACTGGTTTCTCTGCCATTGTAGAGGCATCAACAGATAATGAAACTTCCACTGTCACAGAAATGTATGCTACAGGACTATCTACTAGACTGTCTAATATTAATGAAGCAATTAATACCACATTAGAATCTTCAGCTTCTTTGGTATCTATCACTTCTGAAATTTCTGCAGTCCCTGATGCATCTACAAATACACAACTTTCTAATGGAGTTTCTACTCTTGCTGAAGCATCTGCTATCACAAAAGTGTCTACTGCTCCAGAAGTCTCTACTATTACTACTACAGAAGCACCTACTGATTCTGTACTATCTACCATCACTGAAATGTCAACCAACATAACAGAACCAAACAGTATTAAAGTACCAACTACTGAAGATATACAGACCAGTGGTAAAGTTTCTACCTCCACTGAAAAGTCAAGCACTGAAGAACCTTTTATTACTACCATAAGAACAGTCTCTTCTAATTTTCCAGGCAAGTTGAATTAAAAGTCTGTTGGGTATTAGTGTAATGAATGTCTCAAAGCTGTTTATGAGTGCAAATTATGTTATTGATAATGAAGGGGGCAACCAAGGATTACTTTAATGGCTGCTTCCATGAATAATTAGCTGCTTTCACAAAAGGGAGATAATTACAGCTCCAAGTAAAAAATATACCTGATTTTTATGTTCTAAAATAATCAGCTATGATAGAGATCATAGAAGTATGTTTATGAACCTAAGTACATTAAGAAGAAGCAAAATGTATTAGTAGTTATATAGCTTTCCTTATCAATATTGCTGTTATTATAATCATGTTAATTATAGTTCTTGATGAACACTAAATATGAACAGTCAATGGTCCATCCACAGTTACAGTTACATCGGCATCTGGCAAGTTAACAAATAAAACAAGCTCATCTATTCCATCTACAGTAACTTTGATATCAACAGGAATTTCTTGGTTCAACGGTTCTAAATCAACGGCTTCTGGTCATACAACATTACCTGTTTCATCATCTACACTCACTGCTACTTTACCAACCGTTGACAGTGTGAAGTCAACAGAAACAGCACTCTTCCTTAACACCAAGGAAACTGTGGAACAGAAAACGTCAACAAATTCTGTTCCATCCACATATTCCGTTTCAACAAATCAAGATGTAATTACTGTTCCTACAGGACCTTCCACCACAGAACAAATGTCACACAATTCGAAATCTACATCTTCATATTCATTTATTCCCTCTTCTGTTCCTACTCTTTCAAAAGAGTTATCTACAGCCACACATCATGCATCATTGTCTACAGATTTTACAGAATCTACTAATTCAGTTAGTGCAAAATCAGAACTCCCAGATAAGTATACAGGTTCAGACCATTCTGTAATAGATGAAGAATCTACCACTGAAAAACTGTTTAACCAAAGAGCTGATTCTACTACTACTACTGTGCCTACCACACCTGTTAAGTCTATGCCCACTGGCATGTCTAGTAAAGCTTCTGATTCAAATGTGACTGATGTACCTACTGTGGCATTTGATTCTACTGTCTCTAGTTTGTATACCACTGCTGCTGAGTCTAGCATGTCTTCGACAACTTTTGATTCCACTGCCTTCGTTGTGACTACTAAAACTACCACTGATGCATTTACTGCCACTGTTGTGTCTAAGACTACTGCTGAGTTTATCGCAATTTCTACTGAAACTTCTGATTCTTCAGCTACTGAGGTTTCTATTGAGTCTACCATCCCTAGTGAGTCCACCACTACTGTGTCGACGCAAAAGCCCAATTTTACTACCTTTGCCATGATGATGAAAACTACTGGCACTGGTATATCTACCAAAACTGCCAATAATGATTCTACCACTTCACCAAAGTCTACTAGATCTAATTTGTCCACCAAAACAGCCGATTCTGCTGCCACAGGGTCTACAACTATTTCTGACTCTATCACCTATTTTGAGTCTTCTACTACTGGTATATCTGGGAAAAGTACTGATTTTACAGCGACTCATGTATCAACACACACTGCTGAGTTTATGATCACCAAACCTTCAGGTTCTACAACAGATACCAGCAAGCCTGAGTCTGCTATAACTGGTATGCAAACCAAAACATTGGATATTAATGTCACTGGTGTGTCCACTGAGCATACCAACAATGGTGTATCTAGCAAAACATCAGATTCTAGTTACACTGACGTGCATACCATTACTGAACTTGTAACATCAACCACAACATCCGATGGTAATATTATGTCTATCATCACTAATGTATCCACTGCTAAAACAGCTACTACCAGTACAGAATCCAATGCTATTACTGCTTCTGCATTCCCCACAGCAGTAACAGCCAGTGATAATGCAGTGTCTACTGAAACGTATAGTGCTGCTCAAACATCAACCACTACAATAACGACTGCAGCTTCTGAAGTGTCTACTGAAGCATTTACCAATACAGACAGGTCTACAGCTTCTAAATTTTCTAGAGCTGTTGGAGCATCTACAACTACAGAAATAACAGTTGCTGCTGAAGTACCTAGTGAAACATCTGCCAGCGCAAAAATAACCATTTCAAATGCTGCTGAAGAAACTACTGCTGCAAAAATGTCTAGTGTTGCTGAAGCATTAAGTATTACAGAGATGTTTACTACTGGTGAAACGTCTATTATCACAAACAGAACCACTAGTGCTGCTGTGCCGTCTACCGCAACGAATATGTATACCGGTTTTCAAGGGTCAGATGCTGCTGAAACACCTACCACTTCAAAAATATCTACAGATTCTGAAGTGTTTAGTGTTGCTGAAGTATCTACCACTGTAGAAATATCTAGTGCTTATGAAATGTCTGTTGCTACTGAATCATCTGTAACTGCGGAAATGTCCACCACTTCTGAAGTGTCTGCTGCTCCTGAAACATTTACCACAACAGAAATAGTCACAGAAGTGTCTATCGCTTCTGAAGTCTCTAGTGCTGCTGAATCATCTATGACTGCAGAAATGTCTACTTATGAAGTGCCAAGTGTTGCTGAAGTATCTACAGAAATGTCTGAAGCATCTACCACTGCAAAAATGTCTACCGCTTCTGAAGTGTCTAGTTCTGCTGAAGCATCCAACTCTACAGAAATACCTATTACTTCTGAAGTGTCTAGTGCTGCTGAAGTATCCACCACTGCTGAAATGTCTATCACTTCTGATGTGTCTGGTGCTGCTGAAACATCTAACTCTACAGAAATGTCTACTGCTTCTGAATTATTTAGTGCTGCTGAAATATCTACTACAAAAGTGTCTACCGCTTCTAAAGTGTCTATTGTTGCTGAAGCATCCAACTCTACAGAAATGCCTATCGCTTCTGAAGTGTTTAGTGTTTCTAACTCTACGGAAATGTTTATCGCTGAAGTATCTACCTCTTCTGAAGAGTCTAATGCAGCTGAAACATCTACGGAAATGTCTATCACATCTGAAGTGTCTGCTGCTGTTGAGACAATGTCTACCGCTTCACAAATGTCTAGTGCTGCTGAAGCATCTAAATCTACAAAAATGCCCACCAATTCTGGAATGTCAAGTGCTGCTGAAACATCTATAGAAATGTTTTCTGCTTCTGAAGTGTCTAGTGCGTTTGAAATATCTACTACAGAATTGTCCACCGCTTCTGAAGCATCTGTTACTCCTGAAATATCTACCACCAGAAAAGCGTCTGCCGCGTCTGAAGTGTCTAGTGCTGCTGAAATATCTACTATTGCAGAAGTGTCTACCGTTTCTGAAGTGCCTGATGTTGCTGAAGCAACTCCCACTACAGACATGTCTACTGGTTCTGACGTGTATAGTGTCTCTACAGAAATTTCTACCGCTTCTGAAGTTTCTGGTGTTGCTAAAGCATTAACTACTACTGAAATGTCTATTGTACCTGAAGTGTCTAGTACTGCTGTAACATCTACAAATGTATCTGAAGTGTTTAGTGTTGCTAGAGTTTCTACCGAAATGTCCACCGCTTCAGTGTCCAGTGGTGCTGAAACATCTGTCATTTCAGATCCATCTACTGCTGCTGAAGCAGAAATTTCTTCTGGAGTTTCCTGGTCTGCTAAAACTACTATTGCAGAAATATCTATGTCTGAATTATCTAGTGCTGCTGAAGTATCCGTTTCTACAGAAATGCCTACCGTTCCAGAAGTGTCTCTTTGTGCTGAAGCCGCCAATTCTATAGAAATGTCTACCGCTTCTGAAGTATCTAGTGTTGCTGAGGCATCCAAGTCTACAGAAATGTCTACCGCTTCTGAAGTGTCTGGTGCTGCTGAAACATCTGCAGAAATGTCTACTGTTTCTGAAGTGTCTTATGCTTCTGAAGCATTGAACTCTACAAAAATGTCCACCGATTCTGGAGTGTCTGTTGCAGCTGAAATATCTACACATATGTCTACTGATGCTGAAGTGTCTAGTGCTGAGGATACATCCAACTCTACGGAAATGTTTACCGCTTTTGAAGTGTCTAGTGCTGCTGAATTTTCTAACACTACAGAAATGTCTTCCTCTCCTGAAGAGTCTAGTGCAGCTGAAACATCTACAGAAATGTCTACCGCTTCTGAAGTATCCAGTGCTGCAGCAGAAGCAGTAGAATTGTCTAGTACTGCTGATACATCGACTACTGAAATGCCTACCGTTTTTGAAGTGTCTATTGCTGCTGAAGCATTAACTTCTATAGAAGTTTCTATCGCTTCTGAATTGTCTAGTGCTGTTAAAACATCTACCACTTCTTCTACTGCTTTTGAAGTGTCTAGTGTTGCTGAAGCATCCAATTCTACAGAAATGTCTACTGCTTCTGGAGTGTCTAGTGCTGCTAAAATATCTACTACAGAAATATCTACCAATTTTGAAATGCTTAGTTCTGCTGAAACATCTACCACTGTAGTAATGTCTACCGCTTCTGAAGTGTCTCATGCTACTGAAACATCTGCTACTGAAATATCTGCCGCTTCTGAAGTGTCTAGTGCTGCAGAAGCATCGAACACTACAGAAGTGTCTCATGCTGCTGAAACATTTACAAAAAGGTATACAGCTTCTGAAGCGTCCAGTGCTGCTGTATCATCCATATCTACAGAAATGCCTACTGCTTCTGAAACATGTACAGAAATCTCTACCGTTTCTGAAGTGTCGAGTACTGCTGAAGCATACAACTCTACTGAAATGTCTACCGCTTCTGAAGTGCCTAATGCTGCTGAAACATCCAACTCTACTGACATGTCTACCGCTTCTGAAGTGTCTAGTGCTGCTGAATCATACAACTCTACTGAGATGTCTACTGTTTATGAAGTGTCTAGTGCTGCAGAAACATCTACAAAAAGTTATACTACTTCTGAAGTGCCTAGTGCCACATCTATAGAAATGCCTACCACTTCTGAAGTTTCTCAAGCTACTGAAGCATCTACTACAGAAATGCCTACTTCTTCTGAAGTGTCTAGTGCTGCTGAAATATCCAGCTCTACAGAAATGTCTACCGCTTCTGAAGTGTCTCATGCTGCTGAAACATCTAACTCTACAGAAATGTCTACCGCTTCTGAGTGTCTAGTGCTGCAGAAGCATCGAACACTACAGAAGTGTCTCATGCTGCTGAAACATTTACAAAAAGGTATACAGCTTCTGAAGCGTCCAGTGCTGCTGTATCATCCATATCTACAGAAATGCCTTCTGCTTCTGAAACATGTACAGAAATCTCTACCGTTTCTGAAGTGTCGAGTACTGCTGAAGCATACAACTCTACTGAAATGTCTACCGCTTCTGAAATGTCTACCGCTTCTGAAGTGCCTAATGCTGCTGAAACATCCAACTCTACTGACATGTCTACCGCTTCTGAAGTGTCTAGTGCTGCTGAAATATCTACCACTACAGAAATGTCTACTGCTTCTGGAGTGTCTAGTGCTGCTGAATCATACAACTCTACTACAGAAATGCCTACTTCTTCTGAAGTGTCTAGTGCTGCTGAAGCATCTACCACTGCAAAGATATTTACCGCTTCTGAAGTGTCTAGTGCTGCTGAAGCATACAACTCTACTGAAATGTCTACCGCTTGTGAAATGTCTAGTTCTACTGAAATATACAACTCTACTGAAATGTCTTCCGCTTCTGAAATGTCTAGTTCTACTGAAATATACAACTCTACTGAAATGTCTTCCGCTTCTGAACTGTCTGGTGCTGCTGAAATATCCAGCTCTACAGAAATGTCTACCGCTTCTGAAGTGTCTCTTCCTACTGAAATACCTACTACAGAAATGTCTACCGCTTCTGAAATGTCTAGTGCTACTGAAGCATACAACTCTACAAAAATGTCTGCTGTTTCTGAAGTGTCTAGTGCTGCTGAAATATCTACCACTACAGAAATGTCTTCCTCTCCTGAAGAGTCTAGTACAGCTGAAACATTTACAGAAGTGTCTAGTGCTGAAACATCTATCATTGCAGAAATGTCTACTACTTCAGAAGTGTCTAGTGCTGGTTATATATCTACTACTGAAATGTCTGCCGTTTCTGAAGTGTCTAGTGATGCTGAAACATGGACCACTCCAGAAATGTCTACCACTTCTAATATGTCTAATGCTGCTGAAGTTCTTAGTGCTGTTAAAACATCTAAAGAAATGCCTACCATTTTAGAAATGTCTAGAACTACTGAAACATTTATTACAGAAATGTCTACCGCTTCTGAAATGTCTAATGCTGCTGAAGCATCCAACTCTAGTGTAGCTAAGATATCTACTACAGAAATGTCTACCACTTCTGAAGTGTCTAGTACTGCTGAAGCATCCAACTCTACAGAAATATCTACCACTTCTGAAGTTTCCAGTGCTGCAGAAATGTCTACCGCTTCTGAAATGTCTAGTGCTGATGAAGCATTCACTTCTACAGAAATGTCTACTGCTTCTGAATTGTCTAGTGCTGCTGAAACATCTACCACTGCAGAAATGTCTGCCGTTTCTAAAATGTGTAATGCTGCTGAAGCATCCACCTCTACTGAAATGTCTACCGCCTCTGAGATGTCTAGTGCTGCTGAAGCATTAAATTCTACAGCAAAGTCTACTGCTCTTGAAGTGCCTAGTGCGGTAGAAATGTCTACCGCTTCTGAAGTGTCTGTTGCTGCTGAAATGTATTCCGCTTCTGAAAGGTCTAGTGCTATTGAAGCATTAAACTCTACTGAAATGTCTACCGCTTCTGAAGTGTCTAATGCTTTTGAAACATCCACATTTACTGGATTGTCTACCACTTCTGAAGTGTCTAGTGCTGTTGAAGCATTAAACTCTACAACAAGGTCTACTGCTTCTGAAGCGTCTAGTGCGGTAGAAATGTCTACCGCTTCTGAAGTGTCTAATGTTGCTGAATCATCTACCACTGAAGTGTCTATTGCTACTAAAACTTGTAACACTGTAGAAATATCTACTGCTTCTGAAGTGTCTAGTGCTACTGAAGCATCTACTACTGAATTGTCTAGTACTGATGAAACATCTACCACTGCAGAAATGTCTGCCGCTTCTGAAGTGTCTGGTGCTGCTAAAGCATCTGACACTGCAGAAATGTCTACTGCTTCTGAAGTGTCTCCTGCTACTGAAAATTCTACTACAGAAATGTAAACTAAGTACTGCAGATATATACGACACCGGTAAAATTTCTTCCTCCAACGAGTCCAACATTAAGGAACCATATACTACTACTATGAAAACAGTCTCTTGAAATCTCTGAAGTATGGCGACTTAAATTGCCAGGTATCATTTTTGCACATATGCATCGTCTTATCACGCTGTGCATTAGCTTCTGTCATCATTAATTTTATTGTTGCCACAGTTTTAGTATCATCATTATAATCATGTCAGTTTCAGTTATTGCGAATGTTACAACAGGTCTTGCATTATTTTCAAGTACATTTTTTAGTGAATTTAATATTTCATTCACAGTTGTATTATATCGACAGATATTGCAAGATTCTCTGTTTCATCTACAGTAACTCTGTCATCAACAGGAATAACTTTGCTCAACGGTTTTAAATCAATGCTTCCTGGTCCTACACCCTCATATATTATATATACATCTACAATCAGTGCTGCTCTACCGACCGCTGAAAGTGTGAAGTCAACAGAAGCGGCACTCATCCTTGCCACCAAGGAAACTGAAGTGCGGAAGAGGAGATTCTGTTCCATCCACAGAACCTTCCGCCACAGACCCATCATCATACAATACTAAGTCTACAATTCCTTATCATCATTCTGACAAATCTGTTCTGTCATAGAATTATCACTAGTCTCAGCACAATCTGCTCTCCGTATGAAATTTACATCTACATCAACGTCTTGGGATTTTAATGAATCTGCAAATTCACTTCAGTTAGTATACAGCTTCAGACCAGTCTGGAGATACAGAATCTATTACCTATCTACTGACTCTACTTTTGAACCTACTGTCACTGGTGTCCCCACCTGTATACCACCACTGTCAAGTCTACCATCGCAAAAGTGTACACCATACCTATTGAATCTACTACCTCTAGTATGTCTACTTAGACTTCCGAATCTACAACCGCTGATTTGTCCAACACAACCACTGGTCCCACTGCTAGTGCTGTAGCTTCAAAATTTTATTATACTGCCACTGGTGGGTCTACCACCACATTTAAATCTACTACCATTGTTGTCTACTACTAGTGCTGCTGAGCCATAATTTCTTATTTTGCTACTTCTGAGTTCATCCTAACGACTGTATCTACCACCACTGCTATCTACCAGCCCTAGAGAGTCCTTCACCTTTGTGTCCCTAGCATGTTGACGTTAAAATCTCATTCTAACGTCACTGGTTTATCTACCTGTGGCTACCATCCAACCTTTATCTACTTCTTCAGGTGTATATATCGTCTCTCCTGGATCTAGCACCACTGAAATATATATGAGATCTAATTTTACTCCCATTAGTGAGTCTATCATCACAGGTGTGTATACGAAAATTTCTGATTCTGTTGCCACTAATGTATCTCTCACACCTACTGGTGTCTCTACAAAAACATCAACTCCCTATTGATACACATGCACACGCATACTCTCACACACACACGCACAGACACTCACACCTTTTTTCTATGCATTCACCATTTATTTATTCATATGGTTATTATAATTGTGATGGTAAATAATTACAATGATAATGATAATGTTAATAATGATAATGATAACAATAACCAATAGTTACAACAACAACAATAATAATAGTAATAATAAAAATAACAATGATAATGATAAAAACAATGATAATGATAGTAACAATTAACAATAATAATAGCAACAATAATAATAAGAAGAAGAATAATGATAATGATTATTATTTGCATTATTTTATGGAACTTATCTTTGGTATAATATCTACTGAAACAATTGCTTTCTTCATAACGTCCTCTCCTTCCCTCCAAGCTTCCTCTATCGCTCTCCTCTCCACCTTTCACCCTTTCCTACTTGCCTCCCTCTCTTTCACCCGTCATTTCTCCCTTGCCCTTATTCGTGTTTTTTATTAGTGTTTTTTCCCTTGGCGATAGGCGCGTTTTTATTTTGCATGCTTTTTTCTTTGGTATTATCCTATGCAGTGAAAAAAATGTGTTGCGGCGTCTCTGAGTCAGGTGGCGGAGCTGAGTACCTTAGCTGTGCCACTGTATGTTGTTCCCCGTGACTACATGCTTATAAGCTAGGGTCATCATTTTATCCATACGGCGTACAGGATTTTATACAAAGCGGCATTCGATATCTACAAATTATAGATATTTCTTGTGGCACTGAAGTTAAAGAATAGAAAGCTTTCCTCCAAGGACCAGTATCACCGAAGTTGTTACTGTAGTTGTCAGCACCAAATGTAGAAACTAATGTCTTTAAATGTGACAGTTACCCATTGAAATGGTACGTTTTCTATATTATATATTGGATGTTAAGAAAACTATCTTACCGGTACAACTAAAGTAATTTTTTATTTAATACTTTTACATCGCAGAGACTAAATTACTACTTTAAGATCAAGTGACTTATACCCATCCCCCCCCCTCTCTCTGCCTCTCCCTCTCCCTTTAACGTTTGTAAAAGTTTGTGTCGGTGTTTTAAAAGGTTAGTTCTACTTATTAATTCTTGTACATTTTTCTATATCTTATTCTATTTTCAGGTGCAGGAGAAAGATGCGATCTTGCTGATAACGCTGGTGTCCCATAGATCTATCACCAGCCACCCGCTCTTCTCTTACACGTCCAGATATCATAACGTCAAGATGAACAGAGCTCTTCGTGGAAAGATTCAGATGCTACCTCTTCTTCTGTCGCGCCTTCAGCTTTTGTGATTCGACGTTAAACTCCATACAAGGACGTTCATTTGCACTGGGACACCCTCTTTGAAGTACGGACAAATATAGACACGGTGATTCCGCTTTTCTTCTACCACGCAGTAGTTACTAATGATAAAAGGGTAATTCGATGTATGTACGAGCAAAGGGCGGCAGGCAGGCTGAGGAAACACATATGTACTTCTTTTTCGCCTTGTCTCTCGCTAAGCCCGTGACTGGATGCAACTACAGAGTATGAGCGGACCCCAGTAACTGTGGATGGATGGTTGTTATGAGCTAAATCCAACAACGTAATGTAACAGTGTGTGTTTCTGCAGGAAAATCGGTGTGAAGTTGTAAGTCTATGCAAGGACGTTGATTTACACAGGGACACCCTCCTTCAAGTACAGACTAAATAAAGACACGGTGATTCGATACATGTTCAGTGACTGTGGATAAATGGTTGTTATAGACCTACTAAATGGTATAACTCACGCGCTACAACAGTGATGGCGATCGTAGTAGCCGAGTGTGTTGTGCAGGAACACTGGTGTGAAGTTGTAAAGTTCTAATGTGCAAATACTGTATCAATTGAGAGGTATGAGATGTTATGGAGGAACATCGTTCTGTAATTATTCAAGAAATCTAAATTAACTAATAAGTCCATCTAGTAATTAAATATTTACCTGATAATCTGTGTATTATATTCACCTATTGTATATATAAGATCCATAAAAAAGCACAAAAAACAAAAGACATACAAACAAAAAACTAGAGTTCCCCCTACAAATTGATTCTGGCAGCTTTAAACGTTTCATATTTTCCCTAATATGGTCTCTGTTATTTCAACTTTTAGCAGCTGTTACGGGCTGTACCACGGAAGCTGAACTTTATGTAGGCACCTTTACAAGGCCATTCATGAAAAGGTTGCGTCCCTTTTAGCATTACTACCTATTTAAGACTGAAATATAGTTTTGTGCCTTTTATATTTTTGTATTATGTATGCACACACACACACACACACACACACACACACACACACACACACACACACACACACACACACACACACACACACACACACACACACACGCACGCACACGCACACGCATACGCTCACACTTACACACACACATACACAAAATACATGCACTCACATACAGAGGCGTACATATTACTCCAGGTCATTAAACTGTTTTAATTACCTCGAAATACTTATTCAGTACACTAAAACCCTCAAACGTATTCATTAGTGTGATCGTATCGGTCTCGTTCAAATTCCTTTTTTTAAACCGTTTAAACCACTCCCATTCAACGGGTTAGCAATCCATTGATGTCACTTCGTTTAACGCTACTGCCATTAAGGTTCAAGTCGGCGTGTTCAACTGAGAGGGCGTCAATGGTCAACCCATTTAGCTTTTCATCTTTGCTCAGATGGAATTGTTTTCCGCGATATTTTTTATAATGGGAATTTAAGAAGATATTACTGGGAATGCCCCCATATATATATATATATATGTATATATATATATATATATATATATATATATATATATGTATGTATGTATAAATATGTATATACATAAATAATAAAACAAGGAATAATAATGATATTGATGATGGTGAGGACAATATTGATACAGACCATAAAAACAATGGCACAAAAAAACTTATAATTCTCAGAGATTAAGAATAATTGCTTTTACAGTAAACAATACTATTTGCTTCCACTTTCGCATTTGTGTGTGTGTGTGTGTGTGTGTGTGTGTGTGTGTGTGTGTGTGTGTGTGTGTGTGTGTGTGTGTGTGTGTGTGTGTGTGTGTGCGTGCGTGCGTGTGTATACAGATAGATATGCAAATGCATGGATAGATAAATAGATACGTAAATATAGGTAAATAGATACGCGTGTGTGTGTGTGTGTGTGTGTGTGTGTGTGTGTGTGTGTGTGTGTGTGTGTGTGTGTGTGTGTGTGTGTGTGTGCGTGCGTGTGTATACAGATAGATATGCAAATGCATAGATAGGTAAATAGATACGCAGATAGACTGATTTATATACACATATACATGTGTATATCACCTTGGTTATGTTTAATCTTTCTCCAGAGCTACAGTTAGATCTAATAATGACATAACCGCAAGGTTTATCAATATTACTTCGTTAGTTTACTAAACTGATCCCAGCTTTTCATATAGTATATTAATATTCTTTTAATCTAAATGGTTTTCAGTTCATATACTCACACTGTGATATTTATTTCTTGAGTTTATTTCTCTCGGTTCAGACAATATTCACTGGCGAAATCTATGTAATTTTCTTTATCTTGTACTCATATATAAACAGTAATGATAATGTACTGATGATGGATTAATAATGAGAACAATGGTAATAACATGGTAAAAATCATTAACATCAATAATATTAATAATAGTAGATGGTGAAGATAACAACAGAAAGGTTCTGATTAAAATAGTCAATATAGAAGTGAGGAACAGCATTATTACTGATGAAAATAGTGTTATTAATTATGGAAGTAGCAGTAGCACCAACAATTGTGATAAAAGTAGTGAATAATGATAATCATGAGGAAAGTTTATCATTATGACAATGATTAAGGCAGTAATGACGATGATAATGATGGTAATTACAATGATAATGTTAATCATCAATAATATTGATGATAATAATGGTGATAATGATAACGAGAATAGTAGTAATGATAATAACATTAATGATAATGATCATAATGATAATAATAATAATAATAATAATAATGATAATAATGATAATAATAATAATAATAATGATAGTGATAATAATAATAGTTATGATAATAATATTGATAATAACAATCATAATCATAATCATAATGATAATAAAGATAACAGTTTTAACAGTGACAACATCAATAGCAACAGCAAGAACAACAACAAATATGATAATGATAGAAGTAATGATTATAATCAAAATCATAACAATAATGATAATAATTAAACAAATACAATAACATCAACAACAATAACAATAACAAGAAACAACACAAATAACAATAGCAGCTGCAGAAATGACAATAATGACAATGATAATGACATCATTATCATGATAACAATAGGAAGCATAAACGTGATAGTAGTGATGAAAATACTGATAATACTGAATTTAAATTAATAATGATAAAAACTATGGAGACAATAATGAAAAATAGGAACGAGAATGAAAATAACATAATAATGATAATAATAGTGATGCTGCTGATGATGATAATTATAATGATAATAATAGTAATAATAATGATATTAGTAATAATAGTAATAATAATAATATTAGTAATAATAGTAATAATGATATTAATTATGATCTAAAAAATGATAATGATGATGAGGAAAAAGGACAATAATAATGATAAAAATAGTGATAATACTAATACTAATAAGATAATAATGACCATAATACTAGTAATGATGATGATGATAAAAATAATGATACTGTTGATAATGATAAAGGTAATAATGATGATGAGGAAGATGATGTTGATAAGGATAGTGATAATGTTGATAATAATAATGATAATGATAATAATGATAATAGTAATAATAATAATAATAATAATAATAATAATAATAATAATAATAATAATAATAACAATAATAATAATAATAATAATAATAATAATAATAATAATAATAATGATTATGATAACAATAATGATAAAAATGACAATAATAATATCTTTAATCAAAATAATAATGATAATAATTATAATGATAGTAAAAATGATGATGATGATGATGATAATAATAATGATAATAATAATCATAACAATAATGATAATAAAAATAGTAGTAATAATAATAATAATAATAATGATAATAATAACAATAATGATAATCATAATGATGACAATGACAATAATAATAATAATAATAATAATAATGATAATAATAACAATAATAATAATCATAATGATGACAATGACAATAATCATAATGATTAAAATGATGACAATGATAGTAGAAGTAATAATAATAATAATAATAATAATAATAATAATAATAACAATAATAACAACAACAGCTACAACAATAATAATAATGATAATGGTAACAATAATGATAATAATAATGATAATGATAATATAACACCAATATTAACAACAAATACAACGTAACCAGCAACATCTTTTACTTGCAATGATATCGTGGCTATATATACTTTCCTTTCAGTGCTTGCAAACTTATTTCGCTCTTCCTTGCATCCTCCCTGTCTTTTATCTCCTCAGCCTCCATTACAAATCCTCCATGCATCACGCCTCAGAGAATCCCAAGTGACAACAACACCCACAGCGCCCACGAGACAGATAGAGCTAGCGGTGGTGTCCTGTGTATTTTTTTTTTTCGGAATGGTCAGGACACAGGAGGAAAAATAGGATTTTGCGGTTTTTTTTTGGGTAGGAAACTGTTTTGTTGGAAGGGAGTTTTGAATTTTATTTATTTATTTATTTTTTATTTTTTATTTTTTTTTACATAAGGTGTTATAAGGGTTTTGATTGTGTGTATATTGTGTTTCGAATAGATGGTGTCATGTTGTGAGTCAGAGAGAGAGAGAGAGAGAGAGAGAGAGAGAGAGAGAGAGAGAGAGAGAGAGAGAGAGAGAGAGAGAGAGAGAGAGAGAGAGAGAGAGAGAGAGAGAAGAGAGAGAGAGAGAGAGAGAGAGAGAGAGAGAGAGAGAGAGAGAGAGAGAGAGAGAGAGAGGGTGAGAGAGAAGGAGAGAGAGAGAGAGAGAGAGAGAGAGAGAGAGAGAGAGAGAGAGAGAGAGAGAGAGAGAGAGAGAGAGAGAGAGAGAGAGGGAGAGAGAGAGAGAGAGGAGAGAGAGAGAGAAAGAGAGAGAGAGAGGAAATAAATAGATAGAGAGAGACAGAAAGAAAGAAAGAAAAACAAAACAAAACAAAAGTAAGAAGAAATACACCTCACATTCACGCAATTTAACCTAACCCCTTCCTCACCGGGCACCGAGATTAATCAACAGACCACAAGGCACCAATCTGGCTTTGGCTCCCCGCCGTGATTTATTGCACGGGACAGACCGCTAAAAGGGCTATAATGCCATTGCACCGACATCGAAATCCCCTCCAGAGCAGAGCCACAGAGCCATAACTTAGGACTTTCCTAAGAGCACCGATGTCTTCAGGAGAGAAGGAAAGTGGGGGGTGGGGAGGGGGTTATGTGCCCTCTAGTACTCGAAGTAAAGTGTAGTGTGCTAAATGTACGGTGGGTTCGAGACTTAGGTTAGGACGGGGGTGTTGTACTTTTCTTGGGGGGGGGGGGGGAGTCGGGTGGGATTGGGTGAAAAAAAGGGGAAGAATGTAAAGAGAGAAAAGGGAAAAGAGAGAGAGAAAACAAAAGCGCAAGAGGAAACGACAAATTAAAGAACATCTGAACTTAAACGGAAGTGGTAAAGAAAAGATTTCATGAAGAGAAATTGATGTACACAGAGAAGTGATAAAAGAGATCCGTTCCCAGTTAAAAAAGAGAAAAATCATATATATATATATAAGAAAAACAAAAAAAATAAAAATAAAATAAGCGTAAATGAACGAAGAAAAAAAATGTCTCCCTGCACCCAATTGTCAGAAACGACGTGACACGCTTCGAAATTCTAAGAAAATGAAAAAAGAAAGAGAGAGAGAAAGTAAAAATGAGAACTAACCTATTGTTCTCCAGACTTTCTTTGGGTTCAGTATAACGCACATTTTATTGCATTAAACCCACAGAACTTCAACAATCTACATTTCACGTGTACGAGTATTTTCTCCATATCTATCATAACCTAAGTATAGTAGTAGCACTGTGTGTAAACAAAACGTGTACACATTACATCCAGTTTACGCTGTGGAGATTTCGGCCCTTCAGAAAAACCAGGAAATGTTATAAGATTGAGACAGAACAAAATCTCCTGAGGCAAGGTAATGGAGGGGGAGGGGGAGGGGTGGGCGAGGGGAGGGGGTGGCGGAAGGGAAGGGAGGGGAATTCGTGGAAGAAGAAGAAGAAAACATTAAACATTTCGACTTTCTCTGTTAGCTTATGGGAAGGCCAGGAGGAGTTTGTTTCTTTCACTCGTATATTCATGTTTCTCATTTCGCTGTCATATATTGATACGTCCTTAGTTACGTATATGTATGTATGTATAGCTCTCTATATATCTGTCAATATATTATACACGCACAAATACACCATATATATATATATATATATATATATATATATATATATATATATATATATATATATATATATATATATATATATATATGTATATATATATACATACATGTATATATATATATATATATATATATATATATATATATATATATATATATATATATATATATATATATATACATATATATATATATTATATATATATATATATATATATATATATATATATATATATATATATATATATATATATATATATTTATATTCATATATATATACATATATTTATATTCAAATATATATATGTATATATATATATATATATATATATATATATATATATATATATATATATATATATATACACACACACATATATATGTGTGTGTGTGTATGTATATATAAACATATTTACACACACTACATACATATATATATACACATACACACACACACACTTATATATATATATGCATATAGATACGCCTATACTATATGTATATATGTATAAATATACATACATAGCATAACCAAAATATGTTATGGTTTATATATATATATATATAAATATATCTATATACCCACATACACACACATATATGTGTGTGCGTGTGTGTATATGTTGTCTGTGCACGCACACACACATACATATATATAAACTATGACATTTTGATTAAATTCATAGTTAATTGTACCTGCTTTTTCATCGCACAGTATTGGCCATGGCCACATTAATCGTGGCGTATTAGCAAGCTGTTAATGATTAACATTAATTTACTAACTGAAATGATCTACATGCAACATTTTTCCAGGATATGTTGCAATGAATTCCTCTTTTTGTTGAGTAAAACTTTTTCCACGTCGTTTATATATCTCTATGATCTTCATTCACTTTCTCTGACACCTCTATTGCATCTTCTTGCGTAGGTGCAATTGCAGGTCTCTAATAATATATTTTTTTTATGAACAGCTTGCAACCTATTGACGGTTAATGGCTAACCTAACATACCTTTTAATATTTCATATTTACATCACCAGACCCATTTCACTTACACATTTCCCTGAAAGAGGAAAACCAACAAAACAAAAATAGTTTATAAAAGGGCTGATCACCTATCAATGTTAAGGCTTTAGTCCACAGAACAGAAAACGTGTTAAAAGGCTATCAAACAGGCGACCACTCTCACGTATAAAAAAGTCGGGTAGTGGTGATGGTCGAGTCCTTTTGCTTTTGTTGATAAATGATGGGTGTAACGATTTGGTGATAAGGTCTTCGTTGCTGACTACTGTAGGTATTTTGCCTTCAAGGGACAGGGGGACGGTTTGTAAGTATTTGAGGAATAGATATTTCTTACACATATTTGCTGTAAATATATGTGCATATAGTTTACTTATTTTCTCTACATAGTAGACTTCTCAGATAGATTTAGAGTGGAACGCTTAAGGAATATAAGGAACACACATTCGCTGTTAAAAAAGATGCTTATCTTCTATGCTAAGTAAACATCTCAAACGCTTTGTAAGTATTTAAAGAACAAATCTTACAATTGTTTTAAACATAAGTATTACATCTATTTATATAAAGTGGATTTCCTTGTATGGCTTGGTAATACCAATGGTTAAGGAACTATTAACGTTTCTGTTGTTTTTTTCATAGTCTACATAATCTACCGGTTTGGAATTGGTGAAGTTATTTGAGGGTAGATATTCCAATTGCAACTTCCATCCACTCAAGACCTAAAAGTAGTAAAAACCAACTAAATATTTATTTTCGCCTGAATCCATCAAGATAAAATGATTTTCGTTATCCTTCCAGAATCAGTAAAAAAAAACATCCTATTTCCATGTATACAAAATACTTTACCAAAATGTCGACGAACAGACAAGAGAGAAAAAAAAGTTATAAGCAGTTAAGTTATAAGAAAAAACAAACAAACGACGATCTCATTTCTTCTCAGATGTGAACAAAACCAGACAGTCGAGATAAAAGTAAGTCGAGGAACTAGTTAAACTCACGCTACTGAGATTTTTTTTTCATCTGTGTTCTATTTTCTATCGGGCTTCTGGCGGTTTCTTATTCACCAGTGATGGGCAGCTAGCAGTAGGAGGGAGGGAGGGAAGGAGGGAGGGAGGATGAGAGGATGAGAGGATGAGAGAGAGAGAGAGAGAGAGAGAGAGAGAGAGAGAGAGAGAGAGAGAGAGAGAGAGAGAGAGAGAGAGAGAGAGAGAGAGAGAGAGAGAGAAAGACAGACAGACAAACAAACAGCCAGACAGACAGGCAGAACACAGGACGAAAAGGAGAAACAGAAGTAGAAGACGAACACACACCGATGCTTTCTTGCTCTCAATCTCTCGTCTGCTTTAACTTGTGGAATGCGAAGTACATATGTGTGTACATATGTATATATATATATATAAATATATATATATATATATATATATATATATATATATATATATATATATATATATATATATATATATATATACACACATATATATATATATATATATATATATATATATATATATATATATATATATATATATATATATATATATATATATATATATATGTATATGTATATATATATATATATATATATATATATATATATATATATATATATATATATATATATATATATATACATATGTACACACATATATATATGTATATATATATATATATATATATATATATATATATATATATATATATATATACATATATATATATATATATATATATATTTAAACAGATAGAGGTAGACATAGATATATAGATAGATAGAGATAGAGAAAGAGAAAAAGAGAGAAATGCAGAATAAGAAAAAGGAAGGAGAAAAATAATTACTTTTCACTGAGGCAGAAATCCCCACTCTCACAAGTCAGGACAGGATAGTGTTCCAGCGTCATCCAGTCTGAATAGGTAGCTATCAAGCTCGCTGAACCACGCCTGCAGTTCGGTGCACCTGCTTGCGGAATTTTTGTAAACGCACATATGCACACAAACATGCAGCCATATATATATGTATATATATATATATATATATATATATATATATATATATATATATATATATATATATATACATATATATATATATATATATATATATATATATATATATATATATATGTATATATATATATATAT